CACATAACTAACAGGAAAATAATACTGCTAAAGGAGAGAGCCTCTAACAGCCTTTCATGGAGAAGCCAAGTTTGTGTGATGGGGCTTTTTAAAAAATGATGAAGCCAGAAGCAGTTTTGCCTGCTAGTGAGTTAGTGAGTACAAGAGGTGGTCCTTTATTTCCTGTGGTAGGCAACATTTCAATCCTATGCAGTAGCTACAGCTTTTCTTCAAACAAAAATTATAAATCAACTTGGTGTCTTGTCACCTTTCAGTTCCTTTATGGAAAATCCATTCTGTTTTGTGGCTGTTGCAATCAGTTGCTTGTAGTTTGTCCAGCAAGAAGCCATAGACCACATGACCGTGTCATGGGGCACCTGTTCCACTGGTCTTTCTTGGCTGGAGTCCCCATGTCACGTTTGCTGTGGTAGGCATACTACTGATAATTTCAGTAAGAAACATGAGCTTTATAAGTATACATTTTTAATAATTTTACTTTTGTTTCTTTCCCCCTGGTTCTTGCTGTTTCTTTGTCTATCATTCTTTCCTGATAATTATTAATATTTCGAGGTGGCTCAAGTGGTGAGTTGACATTTTCATCGTCCCTCCAAGATCTGCAGCTCAGTGAATTCTTATCAATTTTGCAAAAGGCAGCTGCATTAAAGTGGCTTTTTTGCTCAGATAAGAAAAAAGCAAATACAAGTGCAGCCAGATGTACAAATGAACCGTGTTCTGGAGCAAGAAGGCCTGTGAAAGAACACAGCCCCAAAATAGGCATCGGGGTGAAGAGTGACGCAGGTGTGCTCAGACACAAGGTGGCAAGCAGTTCTGCTCCTGGGAAGCAGAGAAAAGCTGTGCCAGTTTGAACAGCAGTGAGGTAATTTTGTTCCCTTGCAAATAAATGTCTTGGAAGAAAGCAGAGGCTGGGTGCCAAGAGGCTATTGATCACGCTGCTAAATAAAGTAGTAGCCTCACTTCATGGGAGGTTCCTCTAGAAGCACCCGCTAAGCATTGATGAGGAAAGGGCTGGAGCTGTCCCAGCATGCCAGCCTGGCACGACACCTGCACAACAGCAAATGGGGGCCATGTCCAGCCCCTGAGCCCCTGAGCCTCCCAAATCACCGCCCATCAGAAGGGACAGATGGAGCTGAAGGAGTATCACACAGCAGGCCAATGACACGTGGGGAAAAGTGGTGTGACAGGATGGACTTGCCTGCTGTCTCCTTCTTCAGGAAAGCAAGGAGGGCTGCTGGGGAGTTCCCAGCCAAAGAGCCTAATCACCAGATGAGTGCAATGGGGGCAGTCAGCCAAAATGCTGCTCTTCCATATTGGAGTCATAGGAATGAGAGAATAATGCCGTGAGGTAGCTCTAGCACTAAGTCCACATTTTCATCATCTGTCCAAGATTCCATGGCTTGTCCTTGATACCACAGAATAGAACGAGCCACCGTGTTTCTGTCCTCTCTATGCTGTGAAAAATGTCCCTAAGTGACTTAGATAAAATGGCAATGGGATTCCATCCCATCTTAACTGCAAGTTAAGAACGTGTCAAGAAAGGGAATGATGAAATACTAACAGGATGCCAAGGTCACCTTCTGGGTAGAAGCCTTGAGCCAAGGAAGTTGGTACAATTGTTGGAGAAGTGAGCATTGCCCAAAGAATCAACTGTTAGGAACATGAACACTGCAAAATGGATAAGTCATGGAGCAACTTAGTGCAAACATATTACTGTTCTGAAAACCAGCAATACTTCTATAGCCATCATCCACCTGCTTCTTTATTGATCTAGACATCCCAGAGTCAGTCTTGCTACAATTTCTCATCTATGATGAAAGTAAGGGGAGGGTTTTACAGAGGTGCTGGAGGGGCTAGGATGGCTGGTGCTATCTTGGCAGTCCCTGGGTATCCTTTATCTGTCATGAATGGCTCTGAGGATCTGAGGAACAAAGGTTCTGTTCCTTGCCGTTAGCTGGGATCCTGTGGTCATGCTTACTCCACTGTGAATATTGATGCTTACTTAAGCCTGACTGTGCAGTATGACATCAACACCATACATCTAAAGAAGGTTAATACCTTACTATTGTTATGAATGAAGTTCTATATGTCTAATTTAATAAACAACAAAATTGAATTTAGCAGGAATTTGAACTGAACAGCAATTTTATATAAATTAATACAATCAAGTGTATTAAATATAATGAAGCAAATGCAAAAAAAAATTGCAGTGATTAATTAACTATGATTAAGGTTCATATAAAGCATAAGCAAAACCGACCGGGGCACGGGGAGGGCTTCTCACCCTGCTTCATGTACGAAACAAAGGAATCCAAACTAAACTTATATTCCGTATGCTAATACATATTCATCAATGTTTTTCTGTAAATCCCCTCCTATTTTTGATTCTTGAAATCTACGTCACTATACTGCATAGTGCATGCTCCACTTGTTGTTAGAGGGTCTCCTGGCTTTTTGGTGGTCTTTTCAGAGGAAGGCTCACTGTCTTCCTCTCTGTCCTCTGAATAATCTTACAGGTTGCACATGTGCACTAAGCTTTGTGTTATGTAAGTAAGCATTATGTTCTAAGTAAGCCTTATTATTTCATAGATTAAACCACAACTTAGATTCCATACTTGGAATCGTCCCAACTTTGTTCATCCCAAGGCTGATTCTGCTTTGGGATCTTGCTTATCTCAATACTACATCCTGTATCCTGTTTTTCACGTGTAACGTCTGCAAAGTGGTCCATCTGCTTTGTAGCACTAATCACATATACTTTTCCTTAATTATTTTATAACAATTATTTTCTAAAATATTGATATAGTTACAATTTAATTAGCACAAATCATACCCATTTATCACACACAGCAGTCCAAAGACACGTGGAGAAAAGTGGTGTGACAGGATGGACTTGCCTGCTGTCTCCTTCTTCAGGAAAGCAAGGAGGGCTGCTGGGGAGTTCCCAGCCAAAGAGCCTAATCACCAGATGAGTGCAATGGGGGCAGTCAGCCAAAATGCTGCTCTTCCATATTGGAGTCATAGGAATGAGAGAATAATGCCGTGAGGTAGCTCTAGCACTAAGTCCACATTTTCATCATCTGTCCAAGATTCCATGGCTTGTCCTTGATACCACAGAATAGAACGAGCCACCGTGTTTCTGTCCTCTCTATGCTGTGAAAAATGTCCCTAAGTGACTTAGATAAAATGGCAATGGGATTCCATCCCATCTTAACTGCAAGTTAAGAACGTGTCAAGAAAGGGAATGATGAAATACAAACAGGATGCCAAGGTCACCTTCTGGATAGAAGCCTTGAGCCAAGGAAGTTGGTACAATTGTTGGAGAAGTGAGCATTGCCCAAAGAATCAACTGTTAGGAACATGAACACTGCAAAATGGATAAGTCATGGAGCAACTTAGTGCAAACATATTACTGTTCTGAAAACCAGCAATACTTCTATAGCCATCATCCACCTGCTTCTTTATTGATCCAGACATCCCAGAGTCAGTCTTGCTACAATTTCTCATCTATGATGAAAGTAAGGGGAGGGTTTTACAGAGGTGCTGGAGGGGCTAGGATGGCTGGTGCTATCTTGGCAGTCCCCGGGTATCCTTTATCTGTCATGAATGGCTCTGAGGATCTGAGGAACAAAGGTTCTGTTCCTTGCCTTTAGCTGGGATCCTGTGGTCATGATTACTCCACTGTGAATATTGATGCTTACTTAAGCCTGACTGTGCAGTATGACATCGACCACATACACCTAAAGAAAGTTAGCATCTTACTATTTTAGAAAATCCGTACACTTTCATAGTATCAAGACTGTTTGGTACAATATTTAATGAATGAGATTTTCCTGATTAGCTGGGGGCCAGAAGCCTAACAAGAGAGGCAAAGCCAAAATCCCCTCTGCTGTCCATCTGCAGCCCAAAAAGCAGCTGGATGTGGGTCTCTCCCCATTGGATTGAAAGGCTTTCCGCTTCTCAGAGCAGTTTGTTTACAGCTGTGTCTAAAATAAACGTTGCCGAACTTATTTTTTTTTCCCCCGCTCCTGTTATTCCTGCGGAGCAAGTTGGATTCCTCTCTGACTCACGCATGATTAACTAACTTCCAGCTGCATTATCTTTATTGTTGCTGCCGATACACAAGCCAGCGCTCAGCACGACTCGTGGATCCCAAGCTGTGCTGGCGAGGCTGCCACTTAGAGAAAAAGATTTTTTTTCTAACAGTTGTGGTGTTTAGGAAATGTTATTATTTTTTTATTTGTGTATTTATTTATTTAAGAGACAGCAAGTACCTGCTTTCTCGGGGACCAGAGAAATTAAAATAAACAAGCGATAACGCTCCCTGACCCACACGGTGCGGTGCTGCTGACGGAGAGGCCGTGTCCGGCGGCGGGGGGACACCGAGGGGTCCCGGGGCGGGACGGGAGGCGATGGGACAGGAGGGTCCGGCCGCCCCGGCGAGGAAGCGGTTAACGCCGGGCACCAGGAAACGGGAAGGAAGAGGCTGAGCTCGGCAGGAGCCGCACGGCGGAAGCCCCCCCGGCCCCGCTCCCGCTGCTGGAGCCGCCGCCGCCGGACCGGGCGCACGTGCGGGCGCGGCGGCGCAGGGGCACGTGCGGGGCGGGCACGTGCGGCACCGGCACCTGGCAGCGGCGGCCGGGCGGGCACCGAGGGAGGGAAGGGGAGCTCCCGCCGTGCCACCGCTGCCCCCGGGGAGGGCGGGCGCTCTGCCGGCCTCGGGTGCTTTTACCCAACCACTCGCCCCTTACATAAGCCAGGAGCCGATCCGTCCCCCCCCCTCCCCCCCCCCCCCATCCCCACCGCCGCTCCCCGTTCCCCGTTCCCCCTTCCCCCTCCCGGGAGCCGCCCCCCTGCTGCAGAGATGTGACACGCCCCCTCTCCATCCCTCCCTCCCTCCCTCCCTCCCTTCCGTCGCCGTCCCCTCCCAGGAAGAAGCCGGAGTCGGCAGCGCCGCGGGCCCAGCATGGAGTAGGGCGGCCCGGGGCCGGCGGCGCCGCGCGGGCATGGAGCTGGGCCCGGGGCCCTGCGCGCTGCCGCCCGCCGCCGGGGCCGGGGCGAGGGCGGCGGCGGCGGGGGGACCCTGCGCCGAGATGCTGCAGGTGGCGGAGGAGGCCTTCCGCGGCGGCAACTTCGAGCTGGCGGCCGAGATCTACGGTTCCGAGCTGGCGGGGCTGCCGCAGCCCGAGCGGGGCCTGTGCCTCCGCCGCGCCGACGCGCTGGCCAGGGCCGGCCGCATGGCCGAGGCGCTGGACGCCTACGGCGCGGCGGCGCGGCTGGCGCGGCTGCGGCCCGAGGAGCTGCGGGAGCTGGCGGAGAGTGTCGCTCTCAGCATCCGCGACAAGGAGCTGCGCCTCCCGCCCTGGGGGAGCGGCGCGGCCGGCGGCGGCGGGGCGGAGGGCGAGAGTCTCGGCGACCCGGCGTGCTGCCGCCCGCCCGAGCTGTTCGCCTGCCCGCTGTGCCGGCGGCTGCTGTGCGAGCCGGTGACCCTGCACTGCGGGCACACCCACTGCCGCCGCTGCGCCGAGCCCGGCGACTGCGGCCGCTGCCACCGCCCGCGCCGCCCCGCCGAGCCGACCCCTGCCGCCGCCGCGCTGCCGCCGGCCGCCGGCCGCCCGCGGGTCAACGTGGTGCTGGGCAACCTGCTGCACAAGTGGTTCGGCGCCGAGAGCCGGGCGCGGCGGCTCCGCGCCGAGGGCGACGCGCTGCGGGAGCGCCAGGAGCTACCGGCCGCCCTGGAGAAGTACAACCAGGCCCTGGAGATGGGTGAGTGGCGCCGGCGGGAGGAGGAGGAGGAGGGGGCGCGGCGGGGACAGCGCTGGCCGCCGCCACCGGGCTGGCCCCGGAGCCGGGCGGGGAGGGGGCTTGCGGTGAGTGGTGGGAGAGGGCGCCTGCGGGAGGCTACGAGCAGGAATCCTGCCAGCGGGTCTCCTCACGCCCGCCCCCTGCTCCAGTGAATGGCTATTTTTGTTCCACTGGTATTTTTGTCCTTGCTCTGAAGGTGCTTGGCGTTTAGCTGTTCGCTGCCGATGACTCATTATGCAGTATTTCTAGAAAACCCGCTTTCCTATTTATGGGGAAGCCATCATTCAGCGTAGGATACGCAGTAGTGGTCGTGTTGAGCCGCGCCACGGCTTCCTGGAAGAAATGAGTGTGTGGATCAGATTCATTCAGCTACGTGCAGCTGCACCTTTAGCAAGATAAAAGCTTTGAAAACACCTGATGGGATATCAGTAGGTGTAAAGGCTCAGAAAATTTCCTTTGTCTTGCACTGTGCAAAATACTCAAGGTTATCTACGTTTAGCCTTGGAGAGACAGTCCACTCGTGTTTTGAGCGTAGCCTCTTTGTTGACACAGAGGATTTCTGTGTGCATGGTGTTCTCTGAAAAGCTTGGCTTTAAATAATAAGGCCTGCCTTCCTCCTCTGCCAAACCGGTGGCAGCCTTAGTTTATCAAAACCAGCTTGTTTTCAGGTTCTGCGCCGAGTAGTAGGTGGGTGCTGCTCGCTCGGTTGTAGCCCTGTAGTAGTGGATGTGTGCGTGCGCCCGGCTGTTTGCCCTGCGAGCGGTGGGGGTGGTACAGCACCGGGCATGGCTGGGAGGCGTGCGGCGGGGAGAGCCGTGAGCTCCGCACAGCCCCCGCGATCTGCCGCTCCTCCGCTCTCAGCGACATGGATGTCCGGTTTAATCGACGAGGAAGGGGGGAGAATGCCTCCGTCGTTTTAACACTGACGAAATCCTGCGGGTAAATGTCTTTGAAAGACAAGCGTAGGGAAAATTGTGCCGCTCCTCTGTCAATGAGCTCCTTCCCCGCATTGACTAAAAATCACGTTCTTTGATCCTTGCTGTTACATGCAGGGATAAATGGCTCTGATTATTATTTGTTTTAATTTCTTTTGTTGTGGAGAGAAACAATTTCACCGTTATTCCAGTCCTTGGCTCACTTTCAGTTTTTTGCCACGGCTTAATGATAGGCATTGGAGATAGAAGAGTTTGGGATGGGATAGCATAACATACTATCTACTCACAGCTGGTACTGGCTGTGGAAAGCATTACTTCTGCTGTTTCTTCCACTTTCCCAGCTAGATGTGACAAGTTCTCAGTCCTATCTGAAAACTATCCTATAAAACTATTATGTGGTTTAGCTGAAGTAATCCCTGTTAAAGTAGGGCAGGATGGAGCCCAAGAAGGAAGGTGAAGCAGAGGGAGAGGAGAGGCTTAATGTAGGTCACTGGTGGATACGGTGAGTTTTCAGTAGGGAAGCATCCTAATATTTTGGGTTCAGGGTCCTACTGCTGGGAAAAATAGCATCTCATCAATGAAATTAATGTTTGAAGAGTTTTTTAGAGAACTATTTCTCACTGTTGTCTCTGCTTCTTGCTGTGTCTGCGTGGGGGTGAAAGGAGAGGGAAGACTGTGGTGTGCTGCTGGTGTTCTCACACAGCATGTGTCTTTCTCCTTCCTCTCCCTGGGGTACAATCTCCAGCCATGGCTGTTGTGCATCAGGGCCTCAAGATAATTCCTTTGCAGTGTCCTTATTTCTGTCTTCAGTGATTTCCCAAGCAGCCTGGGAATCCATTCAGAAGGTCCTCACTCTGTCAGTGAACTTGAGTCTTTTCTTTTTAATAAAATTGTAATTGGAAATAATAACAGGTATCTTGCTAGCTTTTGAAATCCACATTCCAGAGGCTTACGTGTTGAAACTTCCCTGTAGTGGATCCAAATTCCTACTGATGAAGGGTAGCCCATGCCCCCAGCCCATCATCTTTTTTGATGTTTTGTGCATGCTGGTGCTGTTCCTCACAAATTGAACTACTGTGTATGAGCCTTGTGTTCTTAAATTCTTGCCACACGTTCACTGCTCTCCCACATGCTGGAGTTGCCTTCTTGTTTTCCAGCCAAGTATCATGGTAAATAAGGAAAAACCCCACAACTCTTCCAACTGTTCAGTGTTGAAATGTTAGCATGTGAGTGACTAAAAAGCACAGGACAGCCCTAGCAGTCACACCAGGTGCCTGAGAGCATTGTCCAAAAGCTTCCTGAACTATCAAGCTTGTGGCTATGACCATTTCCTTGGGGAGCCTCTTCCAGTGCCCAGCCACCCTTTGGGTGAAAAATCTTCTCCTAAAATCCAACCTAAACCTCCCCAGACTCAGCTTCATGCTGTTTCCTCAGGTCCTGTCCCTAGTCACCAACGAAAAGAAATCAGTGCATGGGCCTCCACTTCCCCTTGTAAGGAAGCTGTAAATTGTGATGAGGTGTCCTCTCAGTTTCCTCTACTCCTGGCTGAACCCACTTCTGATGTGTGAGAAGATAAGTGCTTTTTACAACCTCCAAATGCTCGTGTATTGCACAAGCATGTCAAGGGCCTGGCTATTTGAATTTTATTTTTTTTTTTAGTGACTGTAGGCTCATGAACGCATTGATAATACAATTGTGATATAAAGTTAGGTAAAATTCCAGGTTTCTTGGCAGTACACATACTTCAGTGGGATTTTTTTACTGGTGTTTTTTGTGAAATACTTTCCTACTCTATTTGTTACAGCTAGCTTTGTGTGATGCAATATTAAAGCAAGTTTTCCTGTCATTTTGCTCGTTTTGATTGTGACCTTCTCCCGATTGACACTTTAGTTCTTGAGGTGCTTCAATTCTTGAATTACATTTCTGGTGCAATCTGGAATGTCTGGTACATATTTCAGGCCTGGGAAGAGATCTACATGCCTTCAAGTTGTCAGCTTTTTCCAGTTGAACTAGTTAGTCTTACAAACTCATACTGTCAGTGAGTATGTTCATCTTTTATCCTTAACTATCACATTTACAACAGCAGTGCTGCTCCCATGTTCACTCCTGTAGTCTGATATGGATTCAGGTGTGGTTGAGTGGGGTTTTTTGTTCTTAAGAAAATCAGCTTTGCTATTTGATCCTTCTAGTCCTCTTGAGAGGTGATCTCTGCTGTATTATACAAAGTCACTGCCTTTCGTTTTTCCTCTGCTATAGACATTGTAATAGATCCTCCATTATTGTAAGGTGTCTAATTACCACAGCTTCAAAGCAAGCACATGTCAAGCTGCTTGAAAGAAAGCATTTGTTTCCAGATGGATCATTTTTTGTGCCAAGCTTTGTGCTGTTCAGCCATCATAATATCAAGTATTGTCCAAATGTTGCTCTCATGGCTGTTACCCCAGCTTTCTGAATTTCATTTGTGTGGGGTGGGCTTCCTCTCTGACATCCCTTCTCTTCTAACTAGCCTTTTGATTGGACTCCTAGGTTAGTTAAACTGAAATATATGATATATGTGTGTGGGATTGCTTTGTTTGTGGGGTTGTTTTCTTTTGTTTATTTGGGTTTGTAGCCTCTTTGTGCAGTATGTGCTTTCTGCACCCTTTTTTCTTTGACCTGCTGCTCTTGCTGATGGAGGTACTCTCTGGAGGGACTGTGCTTGGGAGGAGTAGTTATTTCCTTATATTCAGGCATACAGACTCTTTAAGCTGTGTGCCTGAAGTTAAAGTAAGCTAGATTTCAGTGACAAATTTATTTTAAGGATGTGCTTTTGGGAGTGTGTTCTGGTTTTGTTTTTGTTTTTTTTTTTTTTTTTAATTTATTTCTCCAAAGCAGTTCTCAGTTACAGAGGCAACAGGTAGCTGTTGCTTCATTGGGAAGATTGTGAATAGAGCTTTTCCCAGGTGCAGCTCTAAAAGAGATGAAGCTCTCGTTGGCATGAGGGTGCATTCATTAGACAGCATTCATGTTACAGGTCCTGGGTGGTCTCTCAAGCCTGCCCACAGGGCTGTGGCTCTGCTGGGAAGGGCTGTGACCTTGTGCCCACCTGACCCTAATCTCAAATTAGCTTCTTGGGGTGTGCACGGGTGACCCTGCCCTGGCTCCTGTGATGTGATGTGTGGATTTTTTATTTGCTTGCTGTGTGCTGTACAGTTGGGTCCCAGCCCTGAGGGTGGCACACATCCTATCTGAATGCTGGTATTCCAGGACACCTTGTTTCTACATGAGACATGTTGCTTCAGTGTGTAGTTACCCACTGCTGCAGAGTTTTATCAGGCTCGAGAAGATCATTGTTTCTGAAAGGCTGTAAGAGCTCAGCAAACACTCAAAGTGATGGTGTTTACTTCTAGTGTGATGGACTCTTTCTGAGCAGAACTATGTTTGTCCTGGGGCAGGGGGGATAGCTAATGCATGCAGCCACTCACATTGCCCAGGATTTTAGTTCTGCCCCTGCCAAGGTTTCCAGAATGAGCATATAGGAGATAAAGCTCAGCTGTATCATAGAGTTTTCAAAACACAGTGACAGATTGAGGCCTTAGGAAGAAAGGGCTCCTTTGCACATACATCTGTGTGGGTCATTGTTTCAAGTGGATAAAGGATGGTGTAGGAAAGGCCAAGGAGAGGAGGTGAGTTTGTACCAAGCCCAAAGTAGTGTCAGAGGTAGCAGTGCTACAGGGCAGGCAAGGGAGGTGCTGCTGTGTGCCTGCTGGGGATGCTCTGGTCTCTGGGAGTGCAGAGCTGCTCACTGACCTCTGGCCCACAGCGTGGTGGTTGAGGTGTTGCTAGAAACAAAATGCAGATGCTTTTGTGAGCTTTGGTGGAAAGAGGAGAATATGCCTCTCTTGGCCAGACCTTGGAGAGCCCTCCCCTCTCATCCCAGTGGATGATCATCAAAAATTGGTCTGATCCAAAAGAAAGCTTATTGTGGCCACTCAACACTAATTACTATTGTGGTCAAGCAATTAATGGAAATTTATCTGATGCCTA